ACACGATTCTGAACGTAGCAAGCAGTGTTAATCGCCTCATCCCAAAAGAAAACAGGTAACTTGGAGTCACAAAGCATTATCCTTGCAGCGTCTTTCAATGTCCGATTTCTCCGCTCAGCAACACCAATTTGTTGAGGTGTGCGAACAGAGCTGTATTGACGCACAATTCCCTTTTCTGCGCAAAAGTGATCAAGAACTGCATTCTTGAATTCTGTTCCATTATCAGTGCGAAGCGCCTTCACCCGGTTATTAGTTTGGTTCTCAATCATCACAATGAACTTCTTTATCAGATCAGCAATCCCATCTTTGTTGGATAAGAAGAAAACCCACGTAAAACGAGAGAAATCGTCGAGGCCTTCTATGTGGGGAAGTTGCAGAAGCTCGAGGTCAACTATAAAAAAGAGTAAGCAATAGGGCATAGAAAAAGAAAAAGAATGTACATAGACAGAGAGACACAAAACTTTAAGAACGGTTGGCAAAGATCCGTCTGATGGAAGAGGCGAACATTCACAAAACATAGATAAAAGAGAGAAGAGTACCGGTACATCAAAAACCTGCAAAAAACAAGAATTTATTCAAAATTGGACAAGAATTCAATCGGACCACCACACAATAGAGGTGAAGAAGAGCATATTGTTTTTAATAATACCATAAATAAATGAGATTGAGAACGGTAATATAGATTTTACATAATGCTAAATTAGATCAGAGGTGTAACCAGACATAGCAGAAACATGTGTTCTATTTTATGGATAGAAGGTCATGACTCACCTTCCATGGCACTTGTTGAAGCAGAGATGAATGAATACGTTTCAGATGACGGCTGAAACCAAGCAACAGTTTGTGACCACAAAGAACGAAAACCCACATCCAAGTATCCTGGGGCTTTGAGACGGTGCGAAGCAGAGTATACGTTAAAAATGAATTATAGAAATAAATGAAATTAGGGTTAATGCCCTTTACCTGGATCGATTCCATACCTGATGAAGAAAAGAGAGTAAACATAAGGCTTCAACGTATATGCAGAAAAACAAAACGATAGAAGATGAATTTATTTAAATGAAAAGGGGTGAAAAATTGAAGCTCTAATACGAATTACAACCAAAATAACCAGACCTTGTGAACTCATAAACTGGAATCCAAATTGAAATCTAATCCTATATTTTTTGATGAAGAGACCCAAGAATCAAATGAAGCGAACATATAATGGTCGTTCTTTCAAAGCCTGTAAAAGAAAAGACAAGAAAGATGAATCATGTGAAACAAAACCCTAGAATGGAGCCACGAGATGGTCGGACCAATTAAAAAGTAAGGAGGTGGAGGAGAACGCCAGCAAAACATAAGATAAATAATATCAGGCGGGAAATTTTGCGATGAAAAGAAACTCGATTAAGGGAGAGGTGATGATCGTTTTGAGGAGGAAGAAATGAGGTGAAGTGAAAGAGGAATATAATAGACATATATGTTTCATTTGGAAAAAAAGACTTTGTGGCTAATGTCAGAGACGCCTCTCGGTGGCAGGAGGAGCACTTCTCATGCCAACTAGCAAAGCTACAAGCAGCTGATGGCAAGGCTAGGAGCAAAACCCACCTGCAAGTCTCTTGTGGCGGCGGATGGAGCTCTTTGATAGAGAGTGACTCACCAAAAGGAAGCAGAAGCTGCAGCCTACACGACACATTTCATGGCGCTTCAAACCAAGCAGGATGTGGCAAATAGTTTTGGGGGAAACGCTTGGAAGTTTTGTACTTATCGATAGAGACTTTGGCATGAGAGAAGCACGAGGTGAGGGAAGGTGTGGTCGAATTAGTTAACAAAGACCGCCCACCATCTTTCTATTGGATGAGGAAGGAGCTCAATGATATGGACCAAAGTGCTTTCCTTTAACAAATAGGTAATTGATATATATATATATATATATATATA